ACAGGAAGATCCAAAGGATATCTCTTAGGTCCCTTTCGGCCTTAAATCTACAACCCAGAGAGGGTTGTTTACTTTAGAGAGAGCAGGTTCAACTGAGTGAGTGGCTGTAAACCAGATTATAAAGGGTTTGAAGATTAAAGCACTATATGGGATGTCCCAAAAGTCTTAGTGCAGCTTAAATGCTTAGATCTGGTATTAGTAGTAGTAGTAATAGTACTAGTATTAATATAATAATAATACTAGCATAATATAATAATTAATATAATTATATTAATATAATGCTAAAATAACTGATTTATACAAATTAATTTCTCTTACTAACTTACCTTAAATGTTTAAGTCTAAGTTGTCTTTTATAAAAAATGAAGACTGTTCTTTGAAAAGGAGTTATAAAATGAGGAATCCATAACCAAATACCTTATTTTTAATACCTAAGGACTATTTGTGGTTTTATCTAGTTTGGAAAATAAATTCTAGGGGCAGCTAGGTAGCACAGCAAATAGAGCACCAGCCCTGTATCAGGAGGACCTGGGTTCAAATCCAGCCTCAGACCAAACATTTGAAACTTACTAGCTGTATGACCCTGGGCAAGTCAACTTAACCCCAATTGACTTAAAAAAACAGAAAGAAAAGAAAGAAAGAAATTCTAATCTAGCCCCAAACATACTTTCACATGAAATATTGCACAGGTACAAAATCTTAAAAAGGAAATTTTAAATATTATACCTATAAAGTCAGCCAGTCAACAGTCAGCAAGAATTTAAGTGCTTACTTACAGAAATTTATATGTGATATTGGGAATAGGGAACCACTGGAGTACAATGAAAAGAGTGGTGACTTTGGCTAACATGACAAAACAGGAAAATGATAACTGTTGGAGAAGATGTGGGAAAACTGGCATTGGTGGAGTTGTGAACTGATCCAACCATTTTGGAAAGCAATTTGGAACTATGCCCAAAGGGTTATAAAAATGTGCATGCCCTTTGACCCAGCAATAGCACTTCTAGAGCTATATCCCAAAGAGATCATAAAAATGGGAAAGGGACCCACATGTACAAAAATATTTATAGCAGCTCTTTCTGTGGTGGCAAAGAACTGGAAATTGAGGGGATATCCATCAATTGGGGAATGGCTGAACAAGTTGCGGTATATGAATGCAGTAAGAATGCTATAAGAAATGATGAGCAAGTGGACTTAAGAAAAACCTGGAAAGACTTAATATGGACTGATGCTGAGTGAAGTGAGCAGAACCAGAAGAATGTTGTACACAGTAACAGCCACATTGTGCGATGACTAACTGTAACAGACCTAGCTTTTCTCAGCAATGCAAAGATCTAAAACATCTCCAAAGGTCTCATGACAAAAAATGCTGTCCACATCCAGAGAAAGAACTATGGAGTTGGAATGCAGATCGAAGCATACTATTTGCTTTTTTTTCCCCTCTTCTGTTTTGTTTTGTTTCTTCTTTCTTGTGGTTCCTCCTATTGGTTCTATTTCTTCTTATAACAAACTAATGTGAAAATTTAAAAAAAAAAGTGGTGACTTAGACCTATGCTTTAGGAGAAAAAACTTCAGCAGCTCAGCAGAAGATGATGGAATGGAGGGAAGAGAACTGAGGAAGGTAGAGCAATGGAGAGGCTACTGCAATAGTCCAGGATAAAGTGAGGAGAACTGACTGGATAAGTGGAAAAAAGCAGATGTAAGAGGAGATGCAAAGTAGAAATGACAATATTTTCCAACAGATTGGAGATATGGGCTGTTGAGACTGAGGATTTAAAGATTATGCTGAGATTGCAAGCCTGGGTGACTAGAAGGATGCGCTTCACAGTAAGAGAAAAGTCAGGAGACTCTGGGGGGCAAAGACCCAACTTTGTTCAACTGAATGAAATGCTGAGGCAGCTCAATACAATTAACTGGAAAGGATATTTGAGCACAGGAAAGAGCTAGACCATTTTTATGAGTTCAGAGAAGAGAATGTTTGAGACTAGCCATTCAAGTCAACAAGTATTTATTAAGTACTTACTGTGTGTCGGGCACTGTGCTAATCACTAGAGATATCTCAAGAAAGGCAAAAACAATAACCCTAAGGAATTCACAGTCTAATTGGGTAGACATATACAAACAATCTATATACAGAATAAATTGAAGATAATCTTAGAGGGAAGAACACTAACATTAAGGGTGACAAGAAATGACTTATTGCAGAAGGTGGTAATTAGCTGAGACTTGAAGAAAGCTAAAGGCAGAAATGAGAAGAAATGAGAGTTCTAAGCATAAAGAAAAGCTAGTGAGAAAATTCATGGAGTCTGGAGATGAAACATCTTCGGCCAGTAACAACAAGGAAAGCTATACAGGGTCACAGAGAACATGGAAGAATAGTAAGGTGGGTAAGAATGCTGGAAAATGACCAAAGGAAGGGGTCAAGTTATAAAAGGTTTTAAAAGCCAAAGAGTGTGTTTTATACTTGATCTTGAAGGCAAGAGGGAACCCATGTAGTTTACTGAGGAGGCTGACATGGCCAGATTTGTGCTTTAAGAAGATAATGTTGATAGTTGGATGGAAGAGAGATTTCAGGCAGGGAGACCAACCATAAGGCTATAGCAAAAATCCCCATGTGACATGACAGTCTGTATATGGGTGGTATCAAAGTCAAAGGAGAGAAAAAGGGATGGGGGGTTTATGAGTGATGTTGGTAAGGCATAATGTAGAGCACTTGGGCAACAGAACGTAAATGGGGAGGGTGCAATGGGGTAGGGGAGGAGGGAGGAAGGATGACCATAAGGAATAAAGTATAACACCTGGGTAACTGGGAGGATGGTAATGACCTTGACAGTTAATTGGAAGGTTTGGGGAGGAAATAGGACTTTAGCTTTAGACTCAAAGAAAGCTAGGAGGCAGAGATAAAGAGGTTTGAAAATCCCATGCACTAGAGACAGCAAGTAAAAAATGAAGACAGGATAGATCAAGCACACTTGTCAGTAGTCGGGAAATTAGAGAGAGGCAGGCTTGAAGGTAAAGATAACAAGTTCGCTCTGAATATGTTGACTTTACTATGTCTATGGGACATGTGAGACAAGTCAGGAGAAGCTAGTTTAAAGAGATCTAAGAATCATCTAAACAAAGATGGTAATTGATTCTAATGGAGGTAATGAGATCAAGAGGTGATATAATGTGGAAAGAAAGTAAAAGAAGGAAAGCTACTTCATGAAAACCTGAAAAGAGCATTTCAAGGAGAAAAGAGTAATGGATAATGTCAAAGACTGAAAAAGGGTCAACAAGGATGAGAAATGCCATTGGATTTGAGAATTAAGAGATAACTGGAGAAAACAGTTTTAAGTGATATTTTAAATAGTTTAAATAATGAAGTCAGAAGTTAGACTGCAGAGACTTATGAAGACAGGGAGAGGAAAGAAAGTGAAGAAATGGATTGGAGACAGCCTTCTCAAGGAGATTAGTCACAAAAGAGTTATGTTAGTAGGTAGCAGGGAAGCAGCCAATAAACAGCAAAAGAAAATTGAAGATAGTGATAACAGAGGGGTGAAGATAGTGATAACAGAAAATAGGATGCAATGGTATCAAGAGTACATGCAGAAGGGTTCACCTTGGCAAGGAGAAAGACAACCTCTTCTTGTCAGACAGGATGAGCCAGTGGGGGAAATGCATCTAAGAAATGAAAAATGATGAGAAAGGAAGGAATCTACATTCTTTCAGTAAAACATGAAACAAGTCTCCGGGGGGAGGGGGGGGATAAAGGGAGTGAGGAAGGATGAAAAGGTTTAGAAAAGCAGCTGTGGTGAAAGGGATAGAGAGTTAATTAGAGAGGTATAAAAGGATTGCCTAACAGCAATGAGAGCCCAGCTGTGCTTATGCAATAGATTCGTAGTGAACCCAGTAAGCACAGTTTCATGCTTTTCTCCAGCTTCATTCAACAACACATGAGCAAGAATGAAAACTGCAGATGGTGGGAGTAAACTAAGGTTCAGGCTTAGCAGAGTATGATTGTTGATAGAATTAAGGGTGCCAGGGACTCAAGACAAGAGAGTGGTGTAGCTGAATTGGTTCACCAAGGGTTCAAGATGGGGAAGGAAGCAGAGTATAAGCCAGTACAAACGGCAATGGCCTAGGAAAGAATTTGGATGTAGAGGGACTGGAAGTTATGGTTATGGTTAAGAATGAGGTTAGGAGTTGTAAGGGAAAGGTGGAATTATGAAAGCAAAGAATCACCAGCTGAAAGGTATAATGGGGAAAGTGGTATAAATTTAAACATTAGAAGCCATCATTTCACATGAGGAAGAGAAGTTCAGTGGAAGAACTACAGTTAAATGACCTGGGTTTGGAGCTTGGCTGTGCTGCTTGCTACATGGAAAACTTTTTGGGGAAGGCCATTTCTCTCTCTTTTGGGGCGGGGGTGGGGTGGGTGGGGAGGGGAATGGGGTTAAGTGACTTGCCCAGGGTCACCCAGCTAGTAAGTGTTATGTGTCTGAGGTCAAATTTGAACTCAGGTCCTCCTGAATCCAGGGCCAGTGCTCTATCCGCTGCGCCACCTAGCTGCCCTCACCATTTCTCTTTTGTTATTGTTGTTGGTCAGTTGTTTCAGTGGTATCCAACTCTTCATGACCCCATTTGGCGTTTTCTTGGCAAAGCCATTTCCTTCTCCTGCTCATTTTAAAGATGAGGAAACTGAAGCAAACAGGGTTAAGTGACTTGCGCAGGATGACATAGCTAGTAAGCATCTGAGGCCACATTTGAACTCAGGTCTTTCTGACTCTAGGCCTAGCAATCTATTCACTAAGCCACTTAGCTACCTAATCCATTTCTCTAGGGACCTGTTTCCTTACATGAGTAGGTCAGAATGGATTACCATATGGTCCCTTTCACCTCTCAGTCCGAGATCCTGTGATTATGCTTTGAGAATTAGATGTTAAAAGGTTTAATAGCAAAAATAGAAAATAATAGATTTGAAAACATTTTCTCTCAATCTCTTTTCTCTGTTTCCTAAGGCATCTGAAAGAAATCATCACATGGAAGTACAGCACATAATTTATTCCAGTTCCAGGTAACTGACAAGAATCAATGACTATAAATGTAAAATTTAAATTTAAATTATTCTATTGAAAAAAAATAAGATTTTCATGTTTGTCTGAAAGAGTCTTAAAGGCTTTCATTTAAATTCAAAGCTCTAAAGTTACACAAAGTATGATCAATAATCTGTGTCTAATTTTTATACAATTGATACAGAAAAGCACTTATGCATACAATTTTCCTTTACCTCTGCTACCAAGTAGCTCTAAGACTTAACTAATTTTATTCTCTTTCAGCCTCAAGTTCTTCATGTAGAAAACTGAAAAGGATAAATCTGATGACAAAGATCCTTTCTGACTTGAAAATTCTGATTCTAAAATTCCTTGAACACCATTGTTTTAAATTGAAGGTGACATTATAAATCATCAAAAAAAGAAACTTGTTTTAGAATGTTTCAGGAGTACTCTGTATCAGTTCAAATATTAAGTATCATCATTCATAAGCAGAGTGCTACAGGACACACTGCACCAAGGGAGCGACTTAAGTTGATTCAATTAAGGACTACAACTGCAATAAAATGACAAGCCATTTATTAATAAGTACACAAATATTTTGTGTAATTATTAAATACCATGAAGAAGTCATATCTACCTTTTCTGATTATAGTAAAAAAAATACTGGGTATCACTAAACCAAACAAGTCAAAAAAGATATTATTTCCCCATGTTTTTAATTTTAAAAAAAAGTCTTAAAGGATATTTTAACAAGCTGCTTAAACTTCATATCTTGTTGAAGTACACAAAAGCAAGGAGAGAATGCAGAGAAGTAGAGAATGACCTATTGGTCTGAATATAGGCTTTTCTTCCTCCCCTAACTCAAGTATGTCTTGCACAAAACACTGAGTGTCATTTACGATAGAGTTCTTAAGAAAATGAAAACAAAATGAAGGTGAAGAAAATAGTAATTTTAAAAAAGAAATATATATATATTTAAACTCACAGAAATGTTGAAAAAAATTAGCCCTTTTATTATAAATGTATTTCATGTGGCAATTAAGTGTAATTTTTTTTGCAGAGTACACCCATGCTTTCTCTTCTCAGAGTTGTCATTTTAGGGATGTGGCCTATACTCAAACTAATAAAGTAAGGCAGTATCATCTACTGCAGCCTACATAATCATTTTCATACATAACTAATGAGAAGAGAAGCTTACATCAAGCTCTGCTTCCAATAAATGCAATGACTGCTCATCACAAGTTTCATCCAGATTCTCCTATTCCTCCCCCAAGACGGGGGAAAAAAAAAACTGTCCTCATGGAAAAGCCATTTTCTAATATTATTAAAATGAGAAGCTTATTGAGTTCTACCCCCTTTAAATTCTGCAAATCAGATCTTTCATTTACCTCTTAATATGTTGCAGTTAGTTTGTTTTGGGTGGGGAGGCCAACAATTCAATACCCCAGGGCCCCAACTGCATGCAATATACTGTTTTAATTAAATGTGCCAATTTGTTTATCAAAACTGACAAGTTCTTTATAAAGTACTACTGATGATACAGTTCTACAGAAATAATTTTTATCTTCTTAAGACTTTAGAATTTCCTCCCCACCTTTTTTAAACGAGGGCACTGTGAAATTTAAGATACATTCTTGATGAAACTAAAGACAAAACTAAAAGGGTTTGCAGTGTTTACCTAGAACTGAAGCTTCATCTCTCTCTCTACACACACACACACACAACTTTTCATTATCTGAGTGTCTATGTTGGGTAAATTAAATTAAAAAAAATTAACTGAGAATTTTGAAAGGAAATAAAAGAGAAGCAATGGGATGGGGAGAATGGAGGGTGGGAAGTAAAATGAACATTAAGATCCCCAGCTTAACCACAAGATGGCAGAAAGAACCGCACCACCACCACCACCACCACCACCACCACCATCCCAAATCAAGAGAACACAGGGTGTATCTCTTCTCTTTATCCCTATGATTCTCTCCATGGACCAAAAAGTATATATTGGTAAACAGCAACTATTTTGCCATAAAGCAAGAATTCTCTAAATCTCAGAGGCAAAAAAGTGAATACGTATGAAAAAAGGGGGTTTGCCAAACAAAATTCAAGATAATGCATACTAATACAAAATGACAGATGGATCAAGTTACTAATTCTATGTAACATTTTAAATGCCTTCTCTCTCTGTAAATGTATATATGAAAGGGGGGGCAGTTGGTTCAGAGCTATGAAACCATTTCTTCTTAAGGAGCAAGAGTGGTAAGTCCGAGAGTCATGTTCCCAATTGTCTACGTAGGTTACATGTTACACAGAAACAATTTTATATATGACAGCCTCAGAAAAGCCTATTTGGCAAAATAACTCAACTACAGAGATATATTTCCCAGACGATAAGTCATTCAATAAACGTTATCATTCTTTGTCTCCTTTGGTACCCGAGTTTCATGTCCCTCCCAAGTTTAAACACTTACATTGGTACTAGTTTACATTTTGTGTTTTCTTCTGAGTCAATGCTGCATCTTCATTAATATTGCTACCTTCCTCTCTCCCCCCTTACAAATTCACATTTACGTGTCAATTTTAGGTACTTCAATGTGCTTTATTTGCACCATCTCATTTAATCCTAACAGCCCTGTAAGAGTAACTAATCTATGTAGTGTAATCTTTTTACAAGTAAGTAAACTGAGGTCAAAGAAGATAAATGACTAGTCAATAGCCAAAAAGCTAAAGTCAAAGGTAGAAGTGGACCCAGGTTTCTCCTGACTAAAAAGGAGCCTATTATTTTACTTGCCTCACCACTCAAAGTCTCCAGTTCCTTGCAATTGGTTTTCATGAGATTATAGAACTAGAGCTGGAACACACCTGCACAAGTCATATAGTCTAACCCCATCATTGTACAGATGAAGAAAACCAGGCACATAGAAAGTAAATGATTTTCCCAAGGTCACACAGAGAATAAATATCAGGTGGAAATTGAACCCAAGTCCTGAATCCAGAACCAGTATTCCACCGTACCATTTTATTGAAACATGGCTCTTTAAAAATTAATAATAATGATAATATTTAATATTTTATTTTCCCCAATTACAAGTAAAAACAATTTTTAGTATTCTTTTTTTTTAAATTCTGAATTTCCAGTTTTCTCCTTCTCCCCCTACCCATGAGAAGGCAAGCAATTTGATATAGGTTACACATATGCAGTCATGCAAAACATTTCCATATTAGTCACACTCTGAAAGAAAACAGACAAAAAAAGGAAAAAAAGAAAAATAAAGTTTAAAAAAGTATGCTTCCATCTGCATTCAGACTATCAGTTCTTTCTCTGCAGACAGACAGCATTTTTCATCCTAAGTCCTTGGGAAATGTCTTGGTTCATTGTATTGCTGAGAACACCTAAGACATTCACAGTTGATCATTGTACAATATTGCTCTTACTCTGTAAAATGTTCTCTTGGTTCTGCTCATTTCACTTTGCATCAGTTCATGTAAGTCCATCCAGGTTTTTCTGAAGTCTGCCTGCTCATCATTTCTTATGGTATAATAGTATTCTATCACAATCACATACCACAACATGTTCGGTCATTCTCCAAATGACGAGCATCCCCTCAATTTCCAATTCTCTGCCACCACTAAAAGAGCTCCTACAAATATTTTTGTACATATAGGTCCTTTCCCTTTTAGTTTTTTTTTGGGGGGGGGTGAGGAGGGGTGTCTGGGATACACTATCTAGTAGTGGTATTGAATGGTTTTATAGCCCTATTGGCATAGTTTGAAAACGGCTGCAGTCTTTGATACCATCCATATACAGACTGTCTGGAGACAGCCTTCTCAAAGAGATTAGCCACAAAAGAGATATGTTAGTAGGTAGCAGGGAAGCAGCCAATAAACAGCAAAAAGAATTGAAGACAGTGATAACAGAGGGGGTAATGGTGCTGAACGGCTGGATCAGTTCACAATTTCATCTGCATTAGTTTCTCAATTTTCCTATATCCCCTCCAACATGTCATTTTTTTCCTGTATATTAGCCAATCTGATAGGTGTGGGGTGTTGTTTTAATTTGCCTTTCTCTAAACAATAGTGATTTGAGCATTTTTTTTGTATGGCTCTAGATAACTTTGAATACTTTGTCTGAAAACTGCCTGTTCATATCTTCTGACCATTTATCAATTGGGGAATGGCTCCTATTTTTGTAGATTTGACTCAGTTCTCTATATATTTAACAAATGAGGTTTTTATCAGAGAAACCTGTGGGAAAAAAGTTTTCACAGTAATGATTACTATACATTTCCCTCCAACCTATTTTTCCTCCCTATTTATCCTGCTCTCTCCTTTAACCCTGTCCATCTTCAAAAGGAAACATGGCTCTTTCAAAGGTCATTGAACACCTCCTCTTTATTATCAAATAATATGTCCTTTTTTCAGTCGTTAGCCTCCTTGACCCTTCTGTAATTGACACCTGTGACACCACTTTCCTTTGTAACAATCTTCTTTGTTTCTACAACATTTTCTTCACCTGATTCTCTTCATACTCATGTGGCCACTTCTTCATCTCCTTTGCAAGCCTCATCCTCTACTTACCACTGAAGACATTGGTTCTTGCTCTGCTCCTCTCATCCTCTCTTTATATTTTCTCTACCCTTAACAATCTCATACACTCCCATGGCTTCATGTATCACCTCTAGGCAGATGACTGCCAAGTATTTCTCATCTCCCAGAGCTTTCTTGCCAAATTTCAAACTGAATCACTACAAGCCCCTCGAAAACAGAATGCCTAAAACTCAAAGTCAAAAAAGTTTTAATATGATGAGAAGGTATAAAATCATCATGATAGAGAGTGTATAAAAAAAAAAGTTCAGGAGACCTGGATTCACATCCTGCCTCTACTATGTACTAATTGTGAGACCTTGGTTTCAGAACCTTGGTTTCCTCATATCTGTAAAATCAAACTAATAATCCTTGGACTTATTAAACCTCACAAGGCTTATGACACACTGTTATGCAACATGCTTTAAAAGTAAAACAAAAA